ATAAAATAAACCACAGTTTGTACATAAAATTAGCTACTATAGCACATTGTTTTAAAGAGATAAAAATGTAGTACCAGATTACTAAATCTAGGAGCACTAAACATTCTTGTTGCAAATGTCTATGTCCCAGTATTTTGATTCACTAACATATAATGATTGAGATTGCCACAGGTTTTAAGGCAGCTAAGACACTATAATCATGGTCTGTCACAAAAAAAGCCAGCTAATACTCTGTATTTCTTAAGCTCCACAACCTTAATATTGAAACAAGCAAACAAAAATTAAACAGAGTTATAAGTGATTTGTTGCTAAGGGAAGTCTGGGGAGACTTACTTTAAAGATCTAGTCCTACACTTATGTTGCATTTCCATCCCCAGTGGAAATATGGAGTATGATTTATTTTCAAGAATTTAAGAAAATTATCTGTCTGTATTCCTCTATTTAGAGATAGTGAATGTTAGAATATTATTCGATGCAAGAGCAGTGTGGAAAGAATTTAGGGAATTGTAATTTTCCTACCACAATGTACTTGAGTTTGCACAAGTAAGCCTAAATTTAAACATGCCTTTTTAATCAGCTGAAGTTAATGTCTTAAACACGTTAGTTGTCTATTACAGTAACAAGATAATCCTTACAAAAAGAGGACACACTTATTTCATTCACAGTTTTGGAAGTTTTCACTATGACTCGTGAATCCCATTTGTATTGGGCTTGTTAGTGAGACAGATCATGGTGGGAAACACAGAAGGAGAAATAAAAGGGAGAACCCATAGTTCCATGGTCAGCTTCAAGAACACAGCTTGTAGTGATGGGGCACTGGAGAGATGGCTCAGTGGTGAAGAGTATTGTCTGCTCTTCCAGAGGTCCTGAGTTAATTCCCAGCAACCACTTGGTGGCTCACAACCATCTATACTGGGATCTGGTGTCCTCTTCTGACATCCAGGCATATAAACAAATAAAGTACTAATCTGCATGATAGATAGATAGATAGATAGATAGATAGATAGATAGATAGATAGATAGATGGATGGATGAATCGATCGATCAAACAATCTTTACATAGTCTTCAGTGATCTAAGACAAAGCTAGGCCCCATCTCTTAAAGTTCAGCACCTTTCTGAAGTCAAGGACTTTATCACATGACTTCTGTGGACTCTAGATTCATATTGTAGTCATCTCAAATCTTGATCCTATTGTTTCCATCATTCGGGACATTTTCTAAAAACACAGTTACTTTCAAAGAAAGAACTGTTTGAAGTGTAATGCATTTGCTGGATAATATATCAAGTTTATACTTCATGACATGATTGCGGTTTACTGAGTTAGCACATGAAGTCTAAATAATTTATAGTTAAGTGTTATAACTGATTTGTTAGTACTCACCATTTTTAAAGGGAGGTATACTGTTTCAAATGATACAGGAATGTCTAAAAGAAGTGTTTAGAGAAAGAAAAAGATGCTGTGATAATATTGGCCAAAGGAGAGCATTAAAAAGATGTAGTAGTGGTGTACTAGAGTCACCATAAGAAAGTGCCACAGAATATTAGTTTTTGGTTGTTTGTTTTTTTCATTTTCTGTCATCTATTTTTTATTTTTTATTAGTTACATTTTATTAACTCTGCATCCCAGCTGCATCCCACTCCCTCATTCCCTCCCAACCCCACCCTTCCTCCCTCATCTCCTCCCTCCCCCTTTCCAAGTCCACTGATAGGGGAGAACCTCCTCCCCTTTCATCTGACCCTGTTTTATCAGTTATCTTCAGGACTGGCTGCAAAGTCCTCCTCTATGGCCTAGCAGGGCTGCTTCTCCCTTGGGGGTAGGGAGATCAAAGAGCCCACCATTGAGTTCATGTCAAAAATAGTCCCTGTTCCCCTTACTAGGGAAACCCACTTAGTTACTGAGCTACTACGGGCTACATCCGAGCAGCGGTTCTAGGTTATATCCATACATGGTCCTTGGTTGGAGAAACAGTCTCAGATAAGATCTCTGTGCCCAGATATATTTGGTCCTTGTGGAATGTTGAGAGTTCAAGATAAAGGCCTACTTTCTTTGTTCTCTTTTTATGGCTTACATTTGCTTTTCTTTCTCTAGGTTTGATACGGTCTTTCTTCAGTTCATGTATTTGTGTGTCCCAAATCCTTTAAAATTTTTATTTTTATTTTTAGTTTTCAAGAGGGGGTTTCTCTGTGGGTAGCATTGGCTGTCCTGGAACTCATTGTAGCCCATGCTGGCCTTGAACTCACAGAGATCCACCTGCCTCTGCCAAATTCCTCTTTTTATAGGTACTCAGGAGTGTATGGAAGCCACTTTAATGCTATGAACTCTTTGAAAACTCTGTTTAAAAGAGTCAAGATCTGAGGCAGTAGGGATATTTCCAATATAAACAGTTGGGGGAAAAACAAAATTCACTCCTTAATAACACAGAATTAAATTTTACTGTGCTGTCTTTTAAAGAAATTTTAAAGCCTGAAAATTTGTAATAAATTACAGAGACCTAGCATCACTGATCCTTGATGTGGGAGTGCATCTGATGAAATATTGTAGCAAAATTTTATAAGTCCTTCCCCACAACCTTTCCCATATACATGATGTGAAACCATTTTTTTTTCTCTACAAATGCTTCTATTTCACTGTATTTGTTCCTGCTTTTATAGTGCAGTGGTGTGTAATGCATCTTATCATGAATATCTTGGCTTTGATTTTTTGACCAATATTGGGTAGAGTTATTCATTTATTTTTATTTCTTTGAGACAGTATCCCTCTGTGTAGCCTAGAATGGCCTGGGACTTCCTTTGTAGCCCACACTGGCCTCAGACTCACAGTGCCCTACTTCTGTCTCCTGATGCTAGGATTATAGGTTTGTACCATTAAACCTGGTTCAAAGTTTGGTTATGAGCCTCAGCATCTGCTTTGAAACACTGCTGGGTAGAGTCTTTCAGAGACTCTCTGTGTAGGCTCCTGTCATGTTCCCTGTTTCTCCATCTACCAGTGTCCGTCCCATTTGCCTTTCTGAGTGAGGATTTATCATCTTACCCAGGGTCCTCCTTCTTGCTTAGCTTCTTTAGGTGTACAGATTTTAGTATGGTTATCCTACATTACATGTCTAATATCCACTTATAAGTGAGTATATACTGAGTGTTTCTTTCTGCTTCTAGGATACCTCACTCAGGACAATCTTTTCCTGCAAATTTCATGATTTCTTTGTTTTTAATTGCTGAGTAGTATTCCATTGTGGAAATGTACCACAGTTTCTGAATCCATTCTTCAATTGAGAGACGTCTGAGTTTATCAAAGCAGATGCTGAGACTCATAACCAAACTTTGGGCAGAGTGCAGGGAATCTTATGAAAGAAGGGGGAGATAGAAAGACCTGGAGGGGACAGGAGCTCCATAAGGATACCAACAGAACCAAAAAATCTGGGCATAGAGGTCTTTTCTGAGACTGATACTCCAAACAAGAACCATTAATGGAGATAACCTAGAATCCCTGCTCAGATGTAGCCCATGGTGGCTGACCCTTTGATGACTTCCCCCTGAGGAGGGAGCAGCCTTATCAGGCCACAGAGGAAGAGAATGTAGCCAGTCCTGATGATACCTGATAGGCTAGGGTCAGCTGAAAGGGGAGGACCTCCCCTATCAGTGGACTGGGGGAGGGCCATGGAGGAGAAGAAGAAGGTAGAGTGGGGTTGGCAGGGAATGAGGGATGGGGTTACAGCTGGGATACAAAGTGAATAAACTGTAATTAATATAAAAAATTAAAATTACAAAAAAAGAAAAAAACTTGGTTCAAATTTTTGTTGTCTTGTTTCCTTTCATTGTACTGGAGAGCAGACCCCATTTTCCAACTTAAAAAATAGGATCTGTCTAGAGAATAACTATTTTAACATAAATTTAGTGACCGTGAGGTTGGGGAAAACACACTTTTTTCAATCCAAGTGTGTTTCTTTCTGTAAAATTTTGGCAAAACATGCCAGTTTCTTCATTCTATTTGTCATTTCCCTATCCCTGTAAGAATTATATTCTGTTCTGGTGAGACTCACAAGTCCTGGGACTGAGCATCTTGTATTCAAAAAGAAACCCAAATGTCTCTGTTGCCCTTTGGGGTCAGAGCTCTGACAAGTGAGAGCCCTGTCATTGCCCTGCACACTCAGCCAGTACAGGGTACCATGGGTCAGGCTTCTAGACCTTGGAACCATGTGAGGCTGTCCTCCCACCCTGTTCCTGCTTTGACCCACTAGGGTCAGTCTAGCTCTGTCGATGCTAGCATAATCACTTCAGACTTCTTTCAGGACACAGTGAGAGCTATGGATGCAGTTTTTTTACAAGCTTCCAGGATTGCTAAGAATTCTAGTCTAAGACAAGAGCAGGCATCAATGCTTTCTCCAAAAGAACAGAATTCTTTACAATAAAAGTGGAGTGTGGTCTATGACTAAGAGCAGCTGTTTTAAGTTGTCTTTTGCTTTGCTTTTTCTTTCTTTCTTTTTTTTTTTTTTTTTTTTTGTTGTTGTTGTTGGTTTTGAATCCCCACTGGGCCAAGAAGGATTTGCGATCCTCCTTCTCAACCTCCTGAGTGCTGAGATCACAGGAGTTCATCAGCACTCCTAGTTAAGTTACATTTTTAATATTAACCACTGAGCCAAGCACCAGGAAAGGAGAGGATAACAAGCATGACTGTTCTTGCTGTCCTGGGAAGAACCACATTCTAGCCTGGTGCTCCACATCCTATAATGGCCCCTTTATACCTGTTATCAGAAACAGTGAAGACAAACTGTACAGTGTTCTCCTCTGGTTTGTGACTTCCCCACTGTTGTGTTTCACATAATCCATTCTATCTTTAGACTACTGACAGGAAAACAAGCACCTTGTCTGCTTTTCACAGTGACTACGCCTTCTAGTCTTTTGTACCATTCATTTCACTGCTTGTTAATATATCTAATCATACCTTAAAAGTTAACTTTTCCTGAATTGAAATCCGTTGACACTATTCTTTTCTTCTTATAGCTTGTACCTCCTTTTAAGCCTCAAGTAACATCTGAGACGGACACAAGATATTTTGATGAGGAATTTACAGCTCAGACTATTACAATAACACCACCTGAAAAATGTAAGTAAATATGTTAAGCAGTTTAACCTTATAAAATAGTTAAAAACAGTCTTCTCCAGAATCATTTGCTAAAGATGAACTCTACCTGTGACTTCTATTTCATTTTTGTTAAGAATTTGCAGCTCCCCAGGAGGGAATAGCAGAGTATCAGGAACAGACCCTTTCTCCTTAGGACACTTGGAGGTCAAATTACAGTCACACTCCTTCTCACTGCTGTCTTAGCAGCTTTTTGCTGTCTTGGAATATTTGTGAAGCAGGAACACTCCCTAGTCCAGACACCTGTTCCCTCACGTCACACCCATCAGAATTACACTAGTTCTGTCCCCTTGTCGTTTTTAACTTTATGGTTAAAACTAGCTTTTTCTTAAACAGTAATATCTTTAAAGACAATGTAGTTTACTATTAATTTGTATGCATGTACTTTAAATTGAAATGCATTAGGCTCTGGGCAAGAAAAGAGAATGTTAGAAGACTACTCTTTATGATTATAATTATTATTGTCCATAAATTATGCACATTAGTAGACTTCATTGCGATATTTCTATACACACGGATACCATGCTTTATCACATCTATGGTCCCTACCACCCTTAATTAACCTTCTCCATCCCTTTACCCTTCCTTACTAGTCCTCTGTTAAGAAGATGGATTAATTCATTGTCAGAACAGTTAGGGTGAGACATCTATGTACAAGTTTGTTTTAAACAACCTCTTGTCTCATGTACCCCAGGCGGGCCCTGAACTGGCTCTTCGGCAAGGATGACATTGAACAGCTGGTCATCCTGCCCACAACTTAAGAATTAAAGCTGTGTAAGAATTAAAGGTGTGTAATACCACAGACAATGCATTAGGCTATATATTCATATACCATTTCATGCCATTCCGTATGTACTAGTATATGCCCTGTACCCCAAGAAAGGAAGGAGGAGAATAGGGTAAAGTTTTGAGGTGATGTTTAGAAAGCTAAAAAAAATCACAGGCATACATATGTAACATTCTTTAGCACTTCTTCCTTTCTTCTCCTTTGTTTTAATAATTTTCTCTACTGTTGGTGGATACTGCCTCTATACACTGAATGTCTGTGAGACAGAAAAAGAAAAGGAAACGCTATTCCTGTAGTGGTCATGGTTGCGTGATTTTATTGTTGAAACACAAACTAGTTCTTAACTGGGGTCCGTGGTCCTACACCAGGAGAGTGCATGCCCTGAGGGGAAGTATCTGTGTACATATGTGCACTTCTGGTTCTTTTATGCCTTTAGATTCACAAGAAGTGGTTACCTTTTATAAGTGAAGATGTTGAAGCCCAGTATTGCACACAGCTGGGAACAGGGCTTACCATCTCGGCTGGGACACCAACCAAGCTCTTAAGATGCCCACATGCTGAAGTGAGCTACAGATGTAGGTAGATTTTTAGTATCTCTAAGAAGTTAGAGACTATTCAAAAGCCTGTGGAGTTGCAGACAGTTAGTAAAGGGTTATGAGTAGAATTTATTGGCCTCTGGTCTCAGCATGGGATGTAGCAATGTGATTGTTCAAAATACTGGGAAACACCAATGAGTGGCTGAACAGACCAAGAGAAGTGCCTACCCTGAGTTCTTGTTCGGCTCTGCCATTTGGATCTAAGGCTAGTTGCATACAGACCATCACTCCCCAGGCTGTAGCTCTCCAGTAGCTTCCCTTTTCAGGATGCATCCATGTTCTCACCCAGAGAGCCACCTTTGATGTCCTAGTACAACGAACAGTGTAGTATGAGCAAGCTTCATTCTACTGTGACAATTCTGTGTTGATGATGCCTTTACATGCTATTTTTCTTGTTAACTTGTTTTCTATTTTTGTTAGTGTAACGTAATATTACTGAAAGGATCTCATGAGTTAATGACTGTCACCAGCCCCAGATAGATGCCTGGCCCCAGATAGATATTTGACAGGTATTTATTAAACAAGTGAACATAAAATGTGCCCAGAGCCAGGAAGGGTTAGGGTCAGGAAGAGTTCCAGCTCTTAGCACCGTGCAGTTGCCTTTGGCTACCCAGGCTTCCTTTGTTTGTCTTTCCTCCCATCTGGCATCTACAGTCTACTTTGGTATAAGAAGATTTTGCTGTCCTTTCCAAAGTACGTTGGAGGGAGTCTAGCTAGTCTATCCTGTTCTGGCCTCACAGGATCTTTCTTAAGCTCTGGAATCTAGAAATAATACATCTGGGCCTTCACGCCAGCTTGACTCATGACTTATCTCTGTCCTCAGTCTCAGCCTCTTCAAGTTGATTTTTTTAAACAAAAGTTTTGGCATTTGAGGATTAAGACAGCTGAACATGTAATTTTGGAAAAAAAAATAGAAATAAGTAGGGCTTGGAAATGAAGGGTTGTGAGTACATAGTTCACTTCAGAAAGTTAAAAAAGTGAAATCCCAATTTGCAGGATAGAAAGTATGTAAGCATAGACTGCAAGGTGGGGAGCCTGCTTCCTGTCTCATCTCTGCCACTTCCTAATTCTGAGATAAGACGCCTTAACTATCTGCTTGACAGGGAGGCACAGAGACTCTGGGATAATGTCTAAAGCCCAGGTTTCTCTGGTGTGTGACTGACAAGCCAACTCTTTATGTTTAGTTTTTTTTTGTTTGTTTGTTTGTTTGTTTTTATGTACAGAGGAACTTTAGATTTTATTTTATTTAAAAAATTATTAATTACAATTTATTCATTTTGTATCCCAGCTGTACCTCCTCCCATGTCCCCTCCTAATCCTGCCCTCCCTCTTCTCCTATACCCCTCCTCAAGTCCACTGATAGGGGAGGTCCTCCTCCCCTTCTCTCTGATCCTAGCCTATCAGGTCTCATCAGGACTGCATTGTCTTCCTCTGTGGCCTGTTAAGACTGTTCCCCCCTCAGGGGGAGGTGATCAAACAGCAGGCCACTGAGTTCATGTCAGAGACAGCTCCTGTTCCCCTTACTAGGGAATCCACTTGAACACTGAGGTGCCATGGGCTGCATCTGTGCCAGGAGTTCTAGGTTATCTCTATGAATGGTCCTTGTTTGGAGCATCAATCTGAGAAAAGACCCTTGGACCCAGATTTTTTGGTTCTGTTGGTCTCCTTGTGGAGCTCCTGTCCCCTCCAGGTCTTTATCTCCCCTTTCTTTCATAAGATTTCCTGCACTCTGCCCAAAGTTTGGCTATAAGTCTCAGCATCTGCTTTGATACCCTGCAGGGTAGAGCCTTTCAGGGGCCCTCTGTGGTAGGCTCCTGTCCTGTTCCCTGTTTTCTCGCTCTTCTGATGTCCATCCTGTTTGCCTTTCTGAAGGAGAATTTGTCATCTTACTCAGGGTCTTCCTTCTTGCTTAGCTTCTTTTTTTTTTAAATATAATTTATTTAATTTTATTTTATGTGCATTAATGTGAAGGTGTCAGATCCCTTGGAATTGGTGGTACAGACAGTTGTGCGCTGCTGCCATGTGGGTGCTGGGAATTGAACCCGGGTCCTTTCGAAGAGCAGACAGTGCTCTTAACCACTGAGCCATCTCTCCAGCCCCTTGGTTAGCTTCTTTAGGTGTCCAGATTTTAGTATGTTTATCCTATATTATATGTCTAATATCTGCTTATAAGTGAGTATATACCATATGTGTCTTTCTGCTTCTGTGATACCTCACTCAGGATGATCTTTTCTAGATCCCACCATTTGCCTGCAAATTTCATGATTTCCTTGTTTTTAATTGACAAGCCAGCTCTTAGAAAAAGGCTGCAGAGGACTCTAAGCTTGAGTGTCCTGATTAACAATTTACATGAAAACTGAGGGATGGGTTCAATATAATAAGTCCCTAACTAAGTGGAAGGAGCATAAAGAAAGGTAAGACTAGAAAGACAAAAGCAAAAACAGTTTAAAACTCTACGGAATCTCAACCAATTTAAATGCTGTTAAAACTACTCTGTGGATAGTCAGCCACTGTTTGATGATGAGGCACTCCTGGCCTCAGACATAGGCAACTGTCCTGATGAGAATTTGTTATGTTTGTTTCTCAGTCCCTAAAACCTTTGAAATGTTGATGAAAAGATGCTTTGTGTGCATTTAACTTTAACCCTTTCCTTACCTTCATTAATCAACACCAGTGGGCCCGGGTGTATAAGCCTCAGTGTCTGTGAAGGATGACAAGTTCATTTGAAGAGTGATGCAGCTATACAGCAAGCCTTAGGTTAGCATAATTTCTAAGGTGGGTGTTATAGCCTGTGGGATTCCAACTTCTGCAGGCATCAGAAGTAGGGTATGACCTTGCCCTGCTGCTGGGTCTCAGACATACAGTAACAAGATCCCAACCAGTATGGCCTGTGCCTGACAAGACATGCCACAGACTAGAACTTGGGCTCTTTCTTCATTCAGGATCTCTAGGATGAAAAGGTGAGTGGAAAGATGGCCAACCGCTCTCTGTCCTAGCTTCTGTTGGAGGGGAGGGGTCCTAGTGGCTCTTCAGTGTAGTTCTTGGTTCTGAGGACCAAGAGAAATGCTTTCACTTTAACAGCTCACAGATTGCAGGTTTTCCATGTGGGAAGAGAAAAGAAGCAATAAACCATCATTATACAGAGAACAGTTTTTTCTGGTAGACTTGAAACCATTGTTTCAGCTTATACACCAAGATTTGGTTCCAAAGTCCATGGAATACCATTTGTTAGCAGTTGTCTTCCCACTTGCCACCTTGGTTTTATAAATCAAAAATTTTTAATTATTTTTCAAGAATAAATCAGCAGTTAAGAAAAAAGCAAAATGTTCCATTTTCTACAAACAGCTGCAGCAATATGCCAGATTGTCCTAACTGGTGTTAATTAATTGAACAGATTTTAAAATGTGTTGTCTTTCATTACATCCATCAGTGGTCCTATGTTTTTCTCTCACAGAAAAGGAAAATTTCTTTGAGACAAATCTGATCTCTTTTGCTACTGTCTAATTACATTTGTTAAATGTTCTGAGAAAAGCAGGGTGCCATGTGGATGCAGAGATTCAGACACAGATACAGAGCTGTAGGGTTGATAATTTAAATGTAGTTATATTCTTTATTGCTATCATTGTACCTGTATGGTTCTCCAGAATAGGAACAGGTTCACATATATTGACTAGGCGCCATGTCCCCCAGTTCCTTTTGTTGCAGCCCCCTACCAGGGCAGCACAAGTGCCCAGAGAGCTGCTGCCCTCCTATCTCACTTGGACATGGTCACAGAACTAGCTCCACTGTGATCAGCTGTGGAGGCCAGACAAGAGCTGGAGTGGGTAGTTTTGAAGAAAGATGTGTGGCTCACAGCCAGGCTATACATTCAGATTTATTCCTGTTGAGAATTGTGGTGTGACTGACGTGACAGTGGAAGCTGTCTTAATTCTCTGGGAACACCCCGCAGTATACCCTCTTTCTCCAAGGCAAGACCAGTACCTGTCATGTAAAGCCTTCCGGGCCTAGGACAAGATCTGGTTACAGCTAGGAGCCTGGACAGTCCCTATTGTCTCTCTGGGGTGAAAAGCACAAAGCTTTTTCACACATAGTATCTGCAGTTTGTTGCAGGTTTGCTGTGCAGAAACACTTAGGAGAACTAAGCTTTTAGCGGGAGAACTGTTGTTGAGAGGTGACTGACACATGTCAGATTTGGAACATTACTGCTTTGACTGACTTTTCCATATAGATTTTATGCTGTGTGACTCAGTAGTGGGTATTTCCAATCCCTCCCAGCTTTTAAACAGCTAAAAAATTTATTCTAGAAGATTCATGTGATTGACTTGATTCCGAACCCATATTTTCTAAGGAGGCAGGTTCCTGTCTCCCTCAGCACTACCTAGGATTGCTGCCCAGCTGTTGACAAGGCAATGGTCTGTTTGCGGAGGGGAGTTTGTTTAGTACCCTGTACAAACTATGTGTGAAGTGTTTCTACTGTAGCAATTGCTTTTGGTGCATTTGAGCTGAAAAATGTAGGTTAATGACAGTTTAGTCTCACTTCTGAGGTCCCTGATACATTAAGACTAGAATATGCCCAAAGTGTGGCTCTGAGTCTCAGCTTCTGCTTTGATACCCTGCAGGGTAGAGTATTTCGGAGACCCGCTGTGATAGGCTGCTGTCCTGTTTCCTGTTTTCTCTCTTCTGATGTCCATTCCGTTTGCCTTTCTGAATGAGGATTGATCCTCTTACCCAGGGTCCCACTTCTTGATTAGCTTCTTTAGGTGTACAGATTTTAGTATTTTATCCTATATTATATATCTAATATCCACTAATAAGTGAGTATATACCATGTTTGTCTTTCTGCTTCTGGGGTAAGAGGGATATAGAAAGACCTGGAAGAGAGAGGAACTCTATAAGGAGAGCAAAAAAAGAAAAAAAAATCTGGACACAGGGGTCTTTTTTGAGACTGATCCTCCAAACAAGGACCATGCATGGAGATAACTTAGAACCCCTGCACAGATGCAGCCCATGGCAGTGTCTAAATGGGTTCCATAATAATGGGAACAGGGACTGTCTCTGATATGAATTCAGGGGCCTGCTCTTTGATCACCTCCACCTGAGGGGGGAGCAGCCTTACCAGGCCACAGAGGAAGACAGTGCAGCCAGTCCTGATGAGACCTGATAGGCTAGGGTTAGAGGGAAGGGGAGGAGTACCTCCCCTATCAGTAGACTGGGGGAGGGGCATGGGAAGAGATGAGGGAGGGAGGGGAGGATTGGGAGGGGATGAAGGAGGGGGCTACAGCTGGGATACAAAGTGAATAAATTGTAATTAATAAAAAATAAATTTATAAAAAGAAGAAAACTTAAAAACAAAAAACCCAACTGCTAGGGGAAAGACCCCAATCAGCCTAGCTACAGGGAGAAGATGCTTCAAAGTGTTGAGCTACAGCACAGTTTGCAGTTCTTGTGAGACATGGCTGTGTTGAGGTGGGCTCTTCGGAGAGGCACCTGGGATAACTCAGCTGGGCTTTAAAACTGTACATTTTGAGATTTTTGGAGTATGTTCCAGTCATATTTACACTTTATAGCAATAAACTTGTCTTCTAAAAAAAAACAAAAAAAAAAAACCCAAAACAAACAAACAAACAAAAAAAAAGGAACAAAATGGTTTATTTTTCAGATGAAGACAAAGCCTTTTATGGGGTGTAGCGTAGCCTGTGTTCTTGAAATCAGTGCTACCTGAGGAGCCTGGGAAACATAAAGAATGGAAATATCCCTCTAAATGTATTTGAGGAAATGGAAATATTTTTCTTGAAAACAAAAATGAATGTCAGCCCAGAGAGAGAGAGAGAGAGAGAAAGAGAGAGAGAGATGATGTCTCAGTAATTAAGAACACCTGCTGCTTTTTTAGAGGGCCTGGGTTCAGTTCCTAGCCCTACACTGCGGGCACTCACAACCTGTAACTTCAGTTCCAGGGTGCTTTAATTTGTTTATATTGCTATGTTTAAAAGCCATAAGCAAATGCAACTTGGAGAGAATTTATTTGGCTTACAGGCTCTTGATTACAGTGTATCGTCAGAGTATGTCAGGAAAGGAGCTTAAGGCAGGAACCTTAAGCTGGAGGCAGGAACCTATGCAGGGGCCATGCTTAATGGATAGCTCCTTATGGCTTGCTCAGCTTGCCTTTTTATATAACCCAGGACCATGTGCCCAAGGGTGACATCATCCAGAGTATGCTGAACCTTTCCACACCATTCATCAAGAAAATAATACCTCTGCAGACTTGCCAACAGACCAGTGTGATAAAGGCATTTTCTCAGTGGAGGCTCCCTCTTCCCAGATGACTTGAGTTTGTATCAAGTGTATAAGTGTGCTGTATAAGCTTCACACAGCTCTTGCACTGATGGGTTTCATAGGAATTCTCTCTCTCTCTCTCCCTCTCTCTCCCTCTCTCTCTCTCTCTCTCTCTCTCTCTCTCTCTCTCTCACACACACACACACACACACATACACATAAAACCAAATCATTTTTTAGAATTTTGTACTGACTGGTTCATCTTGATGACAGGATGTATACAGTGGATTTTGTAACTTACATGGAGACTTCTAGTACCTAAGTGTGTAGATTTGTGAGTGTGTGGATTCCAATTATTAGAAAACTTAGGGAGGAAGAGGCATGGTCCTTTGTGGCCCTTCCCAGACAAGAAAATGAGATAAGAGAGGGCATGTTCACACATCCACCTTGCCCCCACATCTTGAAAATCCTTGCATGTTTTCTGATGAGGCAGGACTTGAAGGCTGCTGCCCTTTGTTTCTTATATTTTATCTTGTTCTCTTTATTCTAGTTTAAAGTTTTACCACAAGAAAATTGTGAATTAGTCAATGGCAGATAATGACTGACATTGCTGCAGAAGATTAGTTTGCAGTCATATCTAGGTCATCGGGAAGAAAAACTCCAGGCACCCTCCTGGGTCCTATAGAATTCAATACATATAATTTAGAACTTTATGCTTTTCTGAACTGGAAGATTCTTTAAAGTGGAATTCTGGATTGTTGGTTTTTCTCCGTAACATTTTTTCCTATAAGCGTTCAATCTTGAAAGTGTGATATCTTAGAGATGGTTTGAGAGTATTATTTCCTTGTAGATCATGTGCATATAGAAATCATAATCTTTTAAAAACCAAATTTTATTGAGAAGTTTATGAGACTCATTGTCTCTCGGTGTACAGGTCATAGTAATACTGCAAAACATAAATGACAAAAAGCTGTTTGCTGCCCACAGATGATGAAGATGGCATGGACTGCATGGACAACGAGCGGCGGCCACATTTCCCTCAGTTTTCCTACTCTGCAAGTGGACGAGAATAAGTCTCTTTCGTTCTGTTTCTACACTGTCATCTTAGATTTTGCCACTGAGAATGATCCCTGGACCTCTCCACCAGTCCTCGCTCTTACAGTTAGCAGAGGCACCTCTGACATCCCTGACCAGCCCAGGGTCTTCACCTCCTACCACCTCTCACCCACATGAGAACACATACACAGACACTCCAGCTTTTGTTTTTGCATGAAATTGTATCTCAGTCTAAGGTCTCATGCTGTTGCTGCTACTGTCTTACTATTATAGCAACTTTCAGAAGTCATTTTACAATCTTTGGGAGTCACGAGCCCATTGTTCATTTGTGCATCAAGTGTCATCCTTTGGTTTTGGTTTTTCCCTAGCAGTGAAGGCTAAATGAGACACACTGATTCTAGGTACATTTTTAACCTTCTAGGAGATAAATCAAGAACTAACTAGACTAAGAAGATTTAGTTTATATTTCTGAACAAGCAGTTGTCGAAGGGTGGTGGGTGTCTATGTAAGAGTTTAGCAACGCATGCGTAACCAGCGCATAAAGTATGTATCGCTGACATTTGGCTGGAAAGCCTTAGGAAGCATTGAGAGGATTGAAGGGCTGATGGGATACACGTGTTTTTAATTCCTGCTGGATAGTGTGGAGGAAGCCCAGTGTCACCCATGGATGCCCAGATGTCATGGGCAAATGGACATTGTTCTACCAAGTCCTGAAGGTGCCGAGTCACCTAGAGGACCTTAGGGTCTACTTTGTACCAGAGAGCATTTTCTCCTGGGCTTGGCAACCTTTTACCCTTCTTGATATTTATCACCTCTGATGGCTGAAGAATGTAGACAGTACAATGATCCTGCTGTCGCCAAAATCTATACACCAAGGTGAACAGGTGTTTGCCTTATCAGTTTTGAAGTTTTTTTTTCTTTCAGTTATAGATGAATGAGCTTTTTCTCAGATGTTAAAACTTTGAATGTCCTTTATGATTTTGTTTATATTACAGTAGTATTTATTTTTTAGTGATAAGAATTGTATTGTCATGTTAGCAAACGCAGCTCCAACTCACAGGTCATTGACTGCAGTTTCTTTTGACCCATGTGCAAGGAATGTACACACCCATTAGAATCATGCACTTTTTCTCCTTTGTAAAAATGGTAAGGCTTTGGATTAGATCTATTGGTTAGAATCTTTGGGAGAAGAGATGCTGGAATTTAACCCCTTGGTGCTGAAATGAGAAAATCCCCAACTACCCATTGCCAAGGGGTTGGTGGAGGAGATGGATGATGGTGGTTGCTCCTGTGAGCGGATGTGTGAGTATAGCCTGTCAGAAGGTAATGCAGAAAGCTGAGACCCAAATGCTTAGAAGAAATGAACTTTACTTGGCAAAATGAACACATCACAAATATTCACACAGTAGGAAGGGACAAGAAGCTGGTGTGTTTATTCTTATCAAGGTACATTCATTACTGAATCAAGCCATCAGGGAAAACAACAAAACAGAACACCTCTAGCTTTTCTTTTTCTGTACATACTCATGTCTCCCAATCCCAAACATTTCTCACCAAGAGGGGACATGTATGCAAACCTCATCTTTCTCCTTCATTAATGATGATCTTCAGATTAAACCCTTTGGTGCTAGGAGCTGACATTTTCCAAAGCAGACTATGAAGTCCAAGGATCAAAGCCTTTCTTGCAGCAAGCAGGAGGGCACCTGCTCCAAGGAGTGATCATGGAAATGTATTTTAGTGACTAACTGACAGCTCCCAAATGGAAGACTACAGTGTGACATAGTAGTGTTGCTGCATTGTCTTTTTGAGTAGGAAGTCATGTTCTCATGCAGATGTCTTGGCCTCTAGGCTCAGACTTGTGGAAGCAGAGCCGCTGCTGGCAGTGGCTGGCCGCTGGGACTGCTGGGGTGGAAAGGGCATTTTACTAAGGCAGCTAAGACGGACTCAGACATAGATTTTGTTCTAATTTTTCATGTTTGTACCTGGGTGAGTTTATCCTTAGAATGGAGTAGGAAGTTAAAGTAAACAGATACTCATTCTTACATGTGTAGTCTTTTCTCCTGCTTAGAATTATACTGAATGTTTCACGTTGGCAAGAAAGTAGGTAGATGGTATGTCCTTTAAGTTACTGTGCATCCATTCTGTAAGAAAAATGTGAGAGGAAGAAAAGCAAGCTGAGTCTGGCTCATGTTCAGAGCATTCATCTCTCAGAGCGAGCAGACACTGTACACTAAGCACACAGCTTCTTTTGTCTCTCCTCCCAAGTCTTAAGGTGATTTCATGACCTTGGCCAAGGATACTTTGTAAAGATTAATGAGGGGGCACTGACAATGCCTCAGGCTGGCCACTCCTCACACCTGGCCCTTGGTCCCCAACCATTCAAGGGGTTATTCATCCCGTCCCTGGCGCCCTGAGTGTCACAGAAGGTGTGTCCTTGGCTTTGATTTTGAGAATCCATTCCTTGCACCCACATGTCAGTTAAATGGCAGAAGTAGAACAGAGAGGTGTGGGGAGGAGATTCTAAAAACTTAGGTTGCCTATGCCTACAGCTTAGGCTTCTGGCAGTTGAAATGGCCTGAAACCTGGAATCATCATGTCGGATGCAGTTCTGGCTGTGGGATTCCAGCTCCTACCAGCTCCAGCTTGACCTCTTGTCACCGTGCAGGCTGTCTTGGACGAAACTGGCCACTTCTGCTCAGATTGCTGCCAGTGTTGCTCACAGCTTTGCTTTCTTCACTAATGACATAGCATTATTCCAGTATTGTTTCCATTTCTCTCCTGACCTCCACAGCTTCTCAGAGCTGACTTCTCACAGGGCCACATGCTTCTCTTTCCCTCACTAACTGCAGGGTCTCCACCACACCTCAGTGTACACACTTTGCTGCTACCGTCTGTACTGTCTACATCACAGTTCCCTTTGCTTGCTCCTGGTAGTGCATTACAGGCAAGCATGTAATGTAAAGTATTTATTTAAATAAAAGGAAAACCTCTGAATTGGTCATCGAGTCACCTGTAGATTCGTAGTCTATGACATATTTTGACTTTCGAGTTCTGGTCATCTGGTTAAGGGTTTGAAGCAGACACAGCTGTGAACCCAGATGCTGTCTTTACTGTCACTGCTGGCCACACTGCAGATGTTTGTTTCCTTAAGTATATGACCCACAGGGTGTGAAATAAGTACAGAACCCCCCCCCCCAAACCTGGTTTTGTACACTGTACACCCTTAGTATCTCACACGCATCTGATAGGGACACACATTACTTTCTTCTACAGACAGCTTAAATAAAGCCCGATGTCAATCTGCTACTTCTCTGTTTGTGGTTGTTGGATATGGCTCTGTAATTTCAGAAAACTAAATTTTGTACTTCTCTGGAAAAAAAAAAAAAGATCATTGCCCCAGCTGGTATTAACCAACACTGTCTGAAGGTGTGACAGGAAAATAGGTAAATGCCTCTTAAGATAAAACACATACGGGGTTATTTTTACTTGAGCAAAAGGCCAATAGCATGCTTGTATAAACTGATGAAGGGCTAGGAGTCGTGTCACTGGCTACCAGCACTAGGTTTCAAGGCACAGCTACTAGGATGCCAGAGACAGAATAGGTTGTAGATCCTAAGGTCTTAATAAGAAATGATGTGGGCCCAGAATTCTCAAGGAATGTAGCTTATCACTAATGTCTTCCTGATAACATACTGCTCTGCACACTTCCTTGCAAGTGTATCTTTAACCCTTGATGGCATTTTATAACTTAGATGTGAGTAATCAATGCTAGAATGTCTGGATTACATTGGATCATTTCGGATGGGGTGTATTTCTGATTTTACCTCATAAGCTACAATTGTAGAACTTGGCTTTGCTCTTGTGAGTTCACCAGAGAGAGGCATGACTTCTGGGACCAGTTAGGCATGCATGTGTATTTCTCACAGCTAAATTTGGGGACATTCTTACATGTGCTGTCCTCAGAATCAACTGGGGTTGACAGATCCAGGAGGCTGAAATAAAGTGACCTCTACAACTCTTTATAAAGGTGCTATTTTTAGAATATTGTATAATTTATTCATGGTATACATAAAACAGAATTGAGGACAGTTAAAATATGTGACAGCTTTATGTCTAGTGCATTTGATGAAACCAGAAGCTTCTGACTCAGAACCAAAGTTCTGCTGTTCGAGGCTTGCACCTTTGACATCATGCCCCAGAGATGAGCATGGCCAGCCCACTGTCGTGACACCACCTCCATGGCCTGCGCTGCATGATTGTGAGGGGCAGGCAGAGCATGTGCACGCTAGGCCTCTGTTGAGAGCCTCGGCTGCTGGGTTGCTGGCTGGGAAAGACGGGAGCTTAGGGTTGTCTGACATGCAGCCTTGCCCTTAGTGTTTCATCCCACCTCAGACACCACCACCATCATCTCAGCATTCACTTTTTGTTTTGTTTCGTGGTGCTGGGGAAGGAACCCAGGGCCTCACACATGCTGGGCAAGTACTCTACCAATGAGTTACACCCCAGACCTTCCAGTGTCCATTTGTATTCCTTTAAAGCATTTGAGGGCTTGACTGTATAGTAGAATACTATTTTAGACTAAAAATATGATCTGTGTACAGATATTTGATATACTGTTAAGTAAATTTTCTAATTTCACATACATTTGTTTTTAGGCTCCTCTCAAATACCGCTATCGAAGACAAAAATATGACACCATCGAGCCAAAGATGCCTTTTTTTTTTGGTGTGGGGGGGGGCTGTTTTGTGTTGTTCAGAGACTGGAAAGAATAATGCAGAGTGCTTCTTGAGTGCACACAGTTCAATGGTAAATACTGGATGCCAGTTAAAGGTATACATGATCGTTATATCACAAGGGAAAAGAACAATAAATGGCAGGAGGAAAGTTGGTCTTCAGTACACTTTGGCTGACTTAAAACATGTGCCTTTTGGTGTGTTTTGTTTGTCACTGCTACAAAAGCGAAAGGAAACAGAACAACTCAAGTCTTTCAAAAGATCATTTTATTAATCCCTGTGCATAGTGTAGAGTAGAGAAAATATAAGTCAGTGACTTGAATCTGTTCTGAGCACACACTCCAACTAGCCCTAGCCAGTTGATGCCGAAGCATTCCCTGTCTGTAGACAGGGACAGACCATGGCATGAGGACCAGCCCCCCTGCGGTCCCAGGTGGTGTCTCCCTGGGGAGGTTTCAGTGCACTGTGGCACATTAAGTACAAATCAGATGAATGTAAATATCTCTTTGTAAATCATTTATTTCACTCTGTTTCATCCAGGTCAGCAATCAGATTGTGGCATGCTGGGTAACTGGAAAAAAAAATGATAATAAAAAGTAAGTTTAAATAGATCATGGGTATTTGTATTCTCATTTGCTGGTTTGGTCAGCTGTTATTACTGAAGTTTTGGAGAAAAGGTTTCTGTTGCTAAAAATGTGGAAATTATATGTAGCCAACCTCATTGAAAATCTGTGCCTCACTCCCTGCCACCAGAGACCAAACAAAACCCTTTTTTTGTATAAGTATCAGACTATGTACTTCTAATGCTTTCTTTCCTTCTGAAAGGAGCCTGTATTCTAGGCCTGTATACATTCTACCTATGGCCAGGTGACATTATGACAGTGTGTCAGACTGTTAGTAAACTGAGATCTGACATTAAGGTGGACAAAAGTGTGTGTGTGGGGGGATTGTGCACACTAACACAAGTGAGCCTCTGTTCCCTCAGTGGCTTGTAACATACATAGATGTGGTTTTCCATTTTCACAGAGATGCTCCCCTGCATGCTGGAAGGCGGGATCCGTGATATTGAGGTCTCATTTCTAAGGTTTTGCACTTGTTGGTATGGAGGAGAGTCAAGGGTTAGGAACGTGTTGTACACCATTCCCTAGTGAGTACACTGGCCTTGCACATAAGTTCATGTCCCACTAGGTAGGTCAGGATGTCTTTCTAGGTCTGCGGTGCCTTCGGTGGAAGACGACCAGCTACCGTGCTGTGCAATTCTGAGGGCGGCTGTCTGTTGTAGTCCCAGAACTGCAGTTTCCACTGGGCCAGGGCTCACCCAACCTTGTGACTTGAGCTAGAATCCAAGGGGGTACTCGGCTGCCTGGTAGAAGCCATGATTACCTGGTAGGGATTTCTTGGTTGGGAGCCTGAGTGAGATATTGGGAATACTTAATTTTTTTTTTTAAGGTCAAGTGTGCATTTCAGGTACATGTTAGCATGTATGAGTAGCATGGTAGTGAATTTTATTGAACTGTTATGTGAGCAGAATGATTTCCACACAGGGAATACAGGTAGGGCTCTGGCAAAAGGCAGGTCAGGACAGTATGAGGTTAGTGATGAGGAACTTCTCAGCGCCCAAGGGAGCTTTGTTCTCAGATTCCCCCAGAGTGGGTCTGGGACATCTGCCAGTCGCCAAAGCCAGCCATCAGTTTAACCAGCAGGCACAGGGTCTCCATTAGAGCGGACACCGGCCAACTAAGCAAGCCGATACTGGTTCTGAAAGCGACTGGTTGGGATATCCTTTCCAGCGCTCTGTGGATAGCCAGGCAGGACAGGCTACCTGGTACCCTGGATCCCTAGATACAAGGGCTTCTAAGGTAAGAAAGTGGGTGACTGGGCGAGGATCAGCACAAATCATGACAGACACATTTCAGAAGACAAATGAATAAACTTGGGCAGAAAATCCCCACTCCACTGCAGATGGGTGAAGATCTGTGACAGAGAGCAGAACTTTGCAGCAGGGTTTTTATTAGCCCAGCTCCGGAAAATGCCTTTCTCAGCGAGGCTTTGAGTGCTGTGATCCAAGGTCCTCTGGGAGCGTGCTGTCTTCTCCCTCTTGCTCTGTGAGTTACTGTCATAATCTGGCTGATCTGCCATCATGTGTCGGGGTGTTATTGATGTGTATTTCTGTCCTCCACTCCACAGCCCCTGTGGACTCTGTCTAGGAGAGAAGGTTCTCAGTTTGGAAGCACAGTTTGAGCTTTCGACAACTATCTCCCCGTTCTGCCTTCTCCCCAGTTACTATGCTCCCTGGTGTGGCTCTTCTGGATCTGTGCCTGCCCTGGGCGTAGAGGAGTTACTGCTTTGCTTAATTGGCCACAGCCTGGTTTTGCTCACCCACATGCTTGTTTTCATTTTCAATCCTACTACAGCCTTCTCCTTGGGTTTCATGGCTAATTTATTTCCAAAGTTTCCTGTAAACTTGGAGTTTAGGAAGTGATTTGCATGGTGTGACCCAAAATGTTGCCCAGTTGACTGTGCTTTAGGCCCGTCCCTCTTTGCTGCTGGCTAGATTCTAGCTTTGTAGTGTGGGCTGCCATCTTCATTGGTTTCTTTTCCTTTCTACTGAAGCAAGGTTTCTCTGTGTGCCTCAGGCTGCTCTCACCACAGTCTCCTAAATGTTCCTCAGGCCTCTCTGCCCTTTCAGCCTGAAGCCCTCCAAGTCAGAATTCTTTCTGGCTTTCTCCCTGCATGTCATCCCTTGTGGCCAGGTCCCCTAACACCTTGTTTCTATGCCTCTAGCAGTAGGCTTCTACTTTTAACAGGGTAGGCACTTTCTCAGTGAGCCATCTAAGCTTTGTTCTGAGGTGACAGAGGTACACGCAGGCCCCAGGATTCTCTCTGTGGCTTGCCTTCCCTTCCAGTGCTATGGGATATTCAGCTACTCCACTTTCCCATCACATCACACCTTCCTTGGGCTATATTCCTCCATCTGCCTGGGAGAAGATGAAATGGCCTCTCTCTATTGGCCCCGTGATTCTGCTGTGAAGTTGACAGTGGCACCTGGACTGGGCTCCAGGTGGGACCTACCCTGTACTTGAGGTGCAGGGCTTAGATCTGAACCCAGGCATGTACAGATCCTACCATGATTCTCAAGGCCTGCTTTGGCACATCCATGAAGAGCTGAGCAGCTGGCATGACAGCACTGTAAAGGGTAAGATAGAAGGCAACCCAGACAGGAAGAATAGAGCATCCTGTATGCGTTGCAGACCTCAGTGGGTCATGGCAATGAAGGACATCTAGCATAGCAAGTGGTAATGTCTACCAAGCTCAGCAGTGGCCCCCATACCCTAGGGTAGTCTCCTCAACACAGGCTGCAGCTTCTTCCAGGAACAACCAAGAGTCTGATCACTGTCCCCTGTGAACCAAGGCAAGGCACCATAGAGCAGCACTGACCCCTTGCTGACCACCTGTCTGGGCTTCTGGAGATAGCTGTGGTTCCTGTCCATGTTTCTGTCATGCAAAGGCCAGAGCAAGGCAGAACAGAAAAGGCAGAAAGGGTGGAGAGGCTGCCTCCAGACAAGGCAGATCTTCTACGTGGTAGGAGGTGGCTCTGTGCAGGCCGGGGATACCTACATCCTTCCGGGAGCATCTGGAAGGTGTCTTCTAAGAGTGCATTCACCAGAACCCCAGGGTCAAGTGTCATAGTTGGTTCCCAGGCACTTTCTCTGCACAGGGGCAGTTGTCTGTTTTATGTGAAACATTTCCATGGGAAATAAATTTTAAGAATTCCCAAAGGACAGACAGTGTCACCAACAGCAGAGAGTGGAGCCTCTGGCTGCCTTGTGTTTGAAAGCGTTAAAAATGAAGACAACATTGACATTTGGGGTTGCAATGTGACGAAATTACAGTCTTTTAAAGGCAAGAACCACTTATCTTCCCTGCATGTAATATTCAGTGTTTTGTTCACTTGTCTAATTGGATTAAAATATTTAGCTCCCTTTAAAAACTTGATTGTGAATTTATATTGCAAAATGTAACGTCTAACTCAGAAAGCAGTAAGAGGAGCAAATGCATCCGAAGCAATATAAAATTCAACATCTTTCATCCACTATTCCTATTCTGAAAGTACCTATTCTTGGAAAGGGGGAGTTGTTAGAACAGGCCTCCTGGAGGAAGCCTGTGTGCTCTGCAGGGTTAGTGGCAGAGCCTAGGTGAACAACTAAGCTAGCTGTGTGCTGTGTCAGGGTTAGGCCCTTAGGTTAGAAATGCAACCCGGGGTCTTATGTCATTCTCTAAAAACACCCAGCAGCAGGGAGTTAATGACATCTTAGCTGCATATGTTCAAGTTGATTTTAAAAAATATGCAAGTCACTTTGGTTGACAGTGTCTTGTACACAGTTTTGAAAGAATCAGGGCAAACTTTAACAGAGTCAGTTTTTATTTGAAAAATATTTTCTGGGAATGTATCAGTGTTTATTTTTGAGACTGACAATTCGGGTGAAAATCAGGATAAAAACAAAAAAACAACAATTTGGTTGAAATCAAATTGTTTGTTTTCATCTATTTAGAATTCTTTCCAAAAAATCCTGGTTCAGGAGGAGGCTTTGTAAATTATTTTATTTGGTGTATTTTCTGTTCTATTCATAAGGCACCATCTGTCTTGCAGGTAGTTAACTGTGTGTGGGCCCTGAAGTCAGCTAGGCAAAGCCCCTGGGCTCTAGGAAGGACAAAAATCCAGAGTGACTACCCCTGGATCCCCACTTTGGCTACCAGCTCCCCAGCAGCCAGTGAGTCTGGGACAGCCTCACTTGAGCTGCCCATCTCCAGCCACAAACCTGCATCTGCTTCTAGTCACAAGCAGGCCTCTCCTCCCCTCCCGAGAATCTGCCTCTCATGCTTGTTTTAAACTCTATTCAATAATGAGGCCTTTGATGTAATGAGATAATGTCGATCTTGAATATAATCGCATATGGTTGCTGGATCTGTGCACAACTTTAAATCAAATTAGAAAGTGCATTCGCTGCCAAGAATGCTTAAAAGTCATAGGGCCAACTGATTAACCACTGACACGGCAGCTTCCAACTCTGTTTTCTAAACTGTGAGTGATTCATAAGAAGGGACTCAAAGGGAATCCCTCTCCAGACTGAAGGCTGAGGACAGAACAGGCAGCCTGCTCAGGGCGACAACTATTGGAGGGTGCCAGGCAGCTGAAACCAGAGTCATTACCAGGAAGTAACTCACTCATCTTGAGGGAACAAATAGCTCTCCCGGGGGACAGACCATTTCTGTTCTC